CCTTCTCCTCCATTCTCCTCTCAGCATCTTGGGCACGCACGCACACGCACCTAGCGTGAGTTTAAGCCACCGGGTCCAGGACTCAAACCGTGGTCAACTACGTGGGAGTCCAGCAACATAGCCATTACGCTAACTGCTGGTTCCGGGCATGTGCATTTTTGAGAGAGACAGAAAGCAAGAAATCGACCCCCTAGGGAGTATGGCCACGCCACAGTCCCTTCTCCATTCTCTTCTTGGGATTTTGGGCACTCATGCACACGTACCTGGCATGAGTTTTAAGCTGTCGGGTCCAAGACTCTAACCACAGTCTACTACATGGGAGTCCAGTGATGTAACCATTACACCATCTGCTGGGCCCGCTGACTTTAATTTCTTAATTAGGCTAATATACCTTTTGCGTACTCAGGAGACATCTAGCAGGTTCTAGAACTGAGAGGGGCCTAGGGAAACCAGCACTGTCTCAGCTATCTGTCCAAATTCCTCATCATTCTCACCGTCACCAAGTGTAGTCATTTCTGCTTATCACTTACATCTTACTGGCCCTCAGCAACTCCTCAGGATTTTTCCATTTTCCTGGGATTCCCACCCACTACCCCAGGAGGGAAAATCCAGGTTTCCTCTGCTCATGGGCTCCCCATACCTGTTGAGTTTCCTGCTTGCCTGCCTTAATCTGGGTATAGACACTGCTATTTGGTTTGTCAATGTTTAAAGTCATTTTCTAAGACCTTTTGTACAAAGAGGTTCTGCCAGTTGAGCCCCTCATCTGGTCAGGGAGCCTTCCAGACGGGATCTGTCCCTCCCTCACCACCCAGCAGCACCCTGTAGCCTGCCTGAGGCACTATAGGAAGGCGTGGATGGATCAAGTTTGTGTTTGGTTTTCTAGGTGTGGTTCGGTACCCTCATGTCAAGAAGAACAGCGCAGACCAGGGCAGCGATGAGGAGGGCAGTCTTCAGAAAGAGCAGGAGAGTGCCATTGACAAGCACAACCTGGAGCGCAAGTGTGCCATGCTGAAGTATACCACGTGCGTCCGTCCCCAAGCGCGGGTCCCCGGTGTGGCCACCGCAGGGATTTTCCTGGATTCTCCGTGCAGCTCAGGATGTCAGAGCAGACCCGGCTGTGTCTCCAGTGCAGAGGCTGCAAATCTGGTTGTGGGCAAACTAGGTCCCAGATATATTTAAGCCAGATACGTATTTAATATATGCTGTTTTACAATAATTCAACTGGGAGCCAAAACTTAGAAGTTGGGCCTTTTAAGTTGGGTATTTTATTATATTAGAATTATTTAACGTAACTAATTTATTTGTTTATCTATTTAAATTTGACCAGAGAGGGACAGAGAGAGAGGAAAAGTGAGAAAGCAAGCCACCAGGTCTAGGACTAGAACCGCAGTCAGCCATGGGGAGTCCAGTGCCCTCAGCTACTATGCTACCTGCCAGCTCTGATATTGGATATTTTATTATCACTATATTTATTTACTTATTTATGTATTTATTTTGAGAGAGTTCTTTTTTCTGTAGGGCGCATGCACTCACTGGAAGAGAGAAAGCGAGAAATCACTCCCCCAGGGGTGATAGTCACACCATAATCTTTCTCCTCCATTTACCTCTTGGGATTTTGGGGCACACACACACACGTGCCCAGCCTGAATTTCAAGCCACTAGGTATGGGACTTAAACCATGGCTGAGCATGGAGTCTGGCACCTTAACCACTGGCCCAAAGTCGGGCATTTTATTTCATCTGGATTTTTGCCTCACCTTGCAGTGGTGGTAACCTGCCAACACTAGGGCTCCAAGTTCTTCACTTCTCCCTGTTAGGCATTTTTCTGGAAAAGTCAGAGTGGGGTATAAATAAATGGCCTCCATCCCATACGGTGGGCCATCATGTCAGTTACTGAGGAGGGCTCCTTTTCTGTTTATTTCCTATGTCAGTGGGAGCCGTGAGGTTGTGGACGAAGGCTTTATCCCTGGAGATGGGCTTGGAGCCGCTGGGCTGGATTCCAGTTTCTATGGACACCTGAAACGCAATTGGATCTGGACCAGCTATATCATGAACAAAGCCAAAAGGGTGAGCGCTAGAGTGTGGGCATCCATGCCAGACCACCAGCTACCCCAGGAGGTTGCCATTGCTACTCTCTCTGTCCCCTCCCAGCCGACAGTTTGTGGATTGATGAAACCAGAGTTGACCAGAGATGCAAATGTTTGCTTCCATTTGTAGTAAGGGCCCTTAACTCTGCCTGGCCTATTTCTCTCCCACTGGACTTTAACTCACTCTCTAACATGGACCGGGGTTCCTTGTTAGAGACGGAATGGAGGCCCAGCCCTGGTGGTGCAGCAGTAGCACACCTCTCCACGGTACTAGATCCACATGGAACACCAGGGATTCACCTCCCTGGTCAACATGTACATGCCAGACACATGGGCGCACCCTCGCACCTGGCTGGCTCAGAAGGATCTTAGTCTGAGGCCCTGTTGACAATGCTTGTTTTTCTCAAAAGAGAGAGAGAAATAAACTTTAAAAGGAACAGAAAGCCTGGGTGACAGATTCTCCAGGAGGGATGCCAGTGTAGTGGTCAAGTGGCTGGACAGGAGACTGCCTTCTGATGCTCCCGGGCAGCTCCCAGCAGTTCCTGTGCAGCCGTCCTCAACTTCTCTAGAAGCTGCTCATGGCGGTGCCTTTGTGCCCTGGGCTCCTGGGGTCTCAGGGAAGCCCTTGCTTCATTCCAGTGCTGTACTTGTCTTTCAGGAGCACGCCTCAGAGAGCGGATTCTCAGTGAGGCTCCAGACGTTTCTGTCCAAACGTTCGTTGCCATTCAGTGGAGGTATGTGTGCCAGCAGCTCATCAATAAGTGTGGTCCCAGTTCAAGGCCAAAACGACCACTGTGCATTCAGTTGGGCCTTTGAAGAATTCGTCCTGAAGCTGTTATCTCTGGTGATTTCTAGGCAGTAGCAAGTTGAATCTCTGGGGAGAAACGAGAGAGGGCTCCGAGCTCTGTGCTGACATTGAAGAGCAGTGTGAGGTCGACCAAGAGTCTACGCTGGACAGAAACGAGAGAGTAAAGGGCGGAAAAAGCCAGAAGCGGAAAAGGCTGAAGAAGGAACCTGAAAACAAGATGAAAAGAAAGAAGAAAGGTTATGCAATGATCATGTGTATTACGGGGCCTCATCTCTGTACATTCTGGCTCAGCGCCTCCCTCCAGGCAGGCCTAAGCTCTGTCCTCAGACACGGGTTTCCATTTTCTCTCTAGTTGCAACACTTACTCTATGTGATGGTGTTTTAATTTTCCCAGTCCATCTTGCAGACAGATCTTTGAATTTCCCTCCTACTTCCCTCTGCTTTCTCTGGCTTCGTATTTGGTGGAGCCTTTGACCTTTACTGTAACTCTCTCAGCTTAAGTTTCTGATTTCATTTCAACTAGAAAAAAAAAATCACAGCTTACAAAAATGTTACTATTCTTTTGGTTTACCTTATAATGTTAGCATTTATGCTAATGAGTCCAGAGTTCACAGTCCTGCATTTTCAACAGGAAAGCTGGACTCGGCCCACGGCTGCAGAATCTCTTAGCTCTGAAACAGCCCCTCAGGGGCGGTGCCTTTAAGTTGCTATTTTGGATTCCTCCCCTGGGCAGGATTTATAGCAGATGGAGGTGGAAAGGAGACTGGTGTCTGTTTTTCAGACCACTTTTATATTACTTTAGTGATCATGTATTTTAACAGTGACCCAATGGCTATAGCTATTTCAGATTTTAAAAAAAAAAAAACAGTGTTTAAGGAGGAACCTGTTTTTAGTGGTTTATTTGTCTGGTAGTTATAACAAATAGCATCCCATCAGTTGAAATGGCCCCCTCACTGTAGCCTGTGGCAGATATGTGTAAGATCGATTTCGCTCACAAAGACCTGAATTCATCCCAGTGCGAGATGCGGTGTTATGTCCCTGTGAATCCAGATTTCCCTGCCCCACTTTTCATCTGCCTTAGTTTGGAAGACATTCACTAAGTAAGTAGTCTTTTGGAATTGGCAGTGGCCTATGGCATCCGCCCTGTGAAACTGCTCTCAGTACCTTCCCCTAAAGGGAAGGGACTAGAAAACTTGGTGGTTGAGAGCTCCAGGAACAGAGCCTACATCACCAGTGACTCAGCTGGTGCCCTGGGAAGCTGCTGCACATCATCCTATTTTAGATTCCTCAGCTGTCGTGTGGCCAATTTGCATATGTCTCATAAGGTTGTTGTAAAGTGTTAGATTCTAAGCTAACCCAAGTAAAAAGCTTAAACCAGTGCTTTGCACAAAGTAAATATTCTGTAATATTAGCTCCTGTTATTATTCACTTAGTAGCTGCTTTGTGCCAGATACTTGCACTTGGTATTTTACACTCAGTCTCAGTCCTTAAGACAGCACTGCCTGGAGATAGGCCTTGTCTCCATTGTGCACAAGAGTTTACACGACACCTGGGAAGTCACAGAGGGACTAGTGGGACACTGATGACTCCACAGTCACTGGGCCAGCTTATTCAGCACATATGCTCTGAGCATGTTCTATAAGCCTCTGTGCAAGGTGCCTTCAAAGGACATAACGTCACAATGGGAGAGACTAAAGACGGGCAGATACTACCCAGAGACCACGCGGGCTGACTAAGTCTTCTTTATAAAATTTGACCAAAGGTGTAATACACAAACACACACACACACACCCACACACACACACACACACACACACACACACACACACACACACACACACACACACACACACACACACACACACACACACACACACACACACACACACACACACACACACACACACACACACACACACACACACACACACGACCTGTCAGGAAGGGCTGAGTCTCATGGTTAGTTTGTGGGTCTTTGACACAACAAAAATGGGATCCCTTCTGTCTTTGGTCATATTGTACGAGCTGGGTAGGAACCCCTCCCCTCTCTCGGGTGCCAGTATCAAATCAGTTGTTAGAGGCTGTTTCTCTTCTCCCTGTCTTTTTAGAGGAGTTCCCAGAACAAAAAACCAAAAGCCTACGTTACCACGACGAGGCCGACCAGAGCGCCCTGCAAAGGATGACCCGGCTGCGGGTCACCTGGTCTATCCAGGAGGATGGGCTGCTCATGCTCTGCCGGATCGCCAGCAATATCCTCAACACCAAGGTATCCAGCCCCGGCCCCTGCTCCTTCCTGGCCTGCAGCCAGCGGGTTTGCTTGCCTCTCTCAGGGAGCTCACAGCCTAGGACCACTCATCTCATCTACTCCACTTGGCCTCTGGGAAAGCATTTCCCAGCATCCTACAGCCCAGAACCACTCCCATATTTGCACATTTCCTTCCTTGGCTAGATACTTAAAATTCTTGCCTAGCGGGACCAGCAGTTAGCGTAATGACTATGTCGCTGGACTCCCACATAGTCAACTGCGGTTCAAGTCCTGGACCCGGTGGCTTAAACTCACGCCGGGCGCGTGTGCATGTGTGCCCGAGATCCCGAGAGAAGAATGGAGGAGAAGGGATTGCGGCGTGGCCATCACCCCTGGGGGGTGTTTTCTCGCTTTCTGTCTCTCTGTCTGGCAAGCACACGTGCCCTATAGCAAAAACCTCTCCAAAAAAAAAAAAAAATTCTTGCCTAGCTGCAGGCAGAATAGTTAAGAGCTGTTCTCCCTCTCTTCATCAGGAAGCTAACCCTTTCTCCTCTGCACCTTCCACACTCATTGCCTGAAAAATTTCCCATGTATCTTTTAGTAACTGCTTATCTTATCTGAAAAGGCTTCATTGACCCTACCAAATGAGCACAATTACTCTGTTCTCTCTCCGCCCCTCTGTTTCTGTTGCTTCTCAGCCCACTGAGGGTACTTCCTCGAGGCAGAGACGTACTTGCTCTCCTGGCTGCGGCGCTAGCACGAGGCCTACCCTAGCAGTCAGTGCTGATGGGATCTGTCTGGCACAGTGACTGGCCTCAGCCCGCCTCGCCAGGTGTCTCGTGTTCCCTCTCCTGCCTTCCACACCACAGTCCCTCACACTTGCCATGTGCCCCCACCCGTGTCCCTGAATCCCACGTAGTTGGGGAGCTCCTTACTCTGTCCTCTGACATCGCTGCTCGTGAGACGATTCCTCAGCTTGAACTAGGGCTCATCTCCCCACCATGTTCCCTAAAGCACCGCACTGACTCCTGCTGTGTTAGCTCTTCCTGTTCTGATTGCCTTGGTTTGTGGCAAGGCATGGGGAGGCAGACAAGGTAGACAGATGTCCAGCTGAGCTGGGGAGCAGGTGTCTCCCTCCGCCAGGAGCATGAGCTCTGCCACCCTGTAGTCCAGGGCCCCTTTCAGGCAGTAATGCTTCCAGGTAGAGCAGATGACGCAGCCTCACAGGAACCTGGTTGTGTGTCCTGGTCCCAGCTGTGCCAGTCAGGAGAAACCCAGTTAGGGGCCTTGTGCCCCTTTGGCCCGTTAGATCCCTTGTCTTGATCATTTCATGTCCGCTGTCCCCCTTAGTCCTCTCCCAAATTCTAGCCCAACCCCTTCTCTAAGGAAGAACCCTGAAGATGGCCTGTTGCCACCCCTCATTTCTGTGTCCTGCATCTGCCATGGCCTTTTCGTTCACTGGTGGGGAGGCTGTCTCCTTCTCAACCCTGATGTACCTGGAGGAGCCAGGAAGGTCCTGGGTCGTTCAGGTCCTCCACCCACTGAGACTGGCACTAGCTTCTTGAGTCGCCTCTTTCCTAGGGTTGTCGGAAAGTGACCTCTCAGCAAGCCCTTCTTTGTCTCGGCCCTGCTCTCCTCTGTCCTGGACCGGGGTGTTCTGAGTATGTTCATTTACTACTTTTTATTTCTTCTGTAGTAACAGCCAAGTGCAATATACAGAATGTCTGAGCATACTTATCATTAAGATGTTGACACTTAACTAAGCACATTTTATATACTTACTGTCTCCCTTTCCTGTGAGTTTTACCCAGTACCCTCCGAACACCTCTGTTGTGCATTTACAGTGATTGAGTGGACATGTATTCCCTGAGGAAAGCTCCATAGAATACATTTTTCCTACTCCTTTAGGTTTATTCCCTATGATGTGCACTCCAAGGATACCGATTTTCTGTTTGCACTCTGTTTCATCCAGGTGAAGGGCCCATTCGTCCCCTGGCAGGTCGTGCGTGACATTTTGCATGCTACCTTCGAAGAGTCTTTGGACAAAACGTCTCACTCCATTGGCCGAAGAGCTCGTTACGTAATCAAAAATCCACAAGCCTATCTGAACTACAAGTAAGCATGTTCAAAATGGCACTCTGGGACACGGTTACGCCAACGTTTCTAATATGTTTGTCTTCCACCCCGTTTCCTGAAGAGCTGGGTGGAAAATCCAGGTGGAGCACACCAGGTTGTCCTGTAGTCTGTCCTGGGGCCGTAGTGAGGTGCTCCTTGTTCTGTGTAGGCCAGCTGTGATGCTGAGTGCCTGTATGTGCGTAGTATCACGTGGACTTTAGAGCACTCTTTGGAGGGACGTGCCATCGCCTTTTTTCCCTAGGTGAAGAAATGGAGGCCCGGCAGGCTAGCAGGCTGGCTGGACATTACATACCAGGATGCGGTGGAGACAGACACAGGCCAGCTTGCACTGTTGGTCCTAGCACTCAGCAGCTCTTGGGAGCTCAGTGTTTGTGGCTCATCACACCACTCACTGCAGAGAGAAGCCAGATAGCACCAGGATCCCTGGACAAAGTGCACCCCTCCGTGTCCTCAGCAGAACTGCGTATCTAGTGCTTCTAGCTGTGGCCTGGGACGTGTGGGGGTGGCAGCTGCCTCGGGAATGCAGAGCATTTGCCTTGTGGTGCATCTCTTCCCAGCAAGGCTGTTTTGCTGTCTCCTCACCGGACCATAAAGCCACTGCCAGCCCCATTAGATGACTCCTGCAACGCCCTCAGTAAGATGGGCTGGAGTAGGGACTGGAGAGCCTTGGAACGGTTACAGGCAGGCACCCAACATTGCAGCCTGTGTAAGAGTGGGACAGCTTGGCAGGGTGGGAAGAACCACCTCAACAGCTAGTGGTTTATGGCCCAAGTCGGTAAGATAACGTGGCCGTGAGCTGGTTCTCGGCCTTGAGCTGCCTGCGGTCAGTCACATGTAGATAGTAATCATTGAGCCCCAGATGGGGAAGAAACTCACCTAGACAGGGTTTCTCAGCCTCGGCACCACTGACACTCAGGCCTCAGTAGTTCTATCCTGCGTGCTGGGGGGTATTTAGCAGCCTCTCTGGCCTCTCTACACTAGTCAGCACCTTGCTGCTCCATTTTGACAAAGATATATCCATCTACTATCTTTGAGGCTAAATTGTGTCCATTAAGAACCACTGAGTCAGAAAGGGGCCTGTTTGTGGGAAGCCTTCTGTAGATTGTGCCTAGGAGTTCCGGCTTTTCTATCTGAGAGGGCTCCGATCACCTGGCCCAACTCCTCTGGTGTGTAAGTGGAGATAGACCTAGAGAGAAGGTGCACATCGGCCAGGGTGGCAGTGAGTTGGCAGCGAAGGGCAACTGCAATGTGGCTTCCTGATTCTTGGCTGATGCCCTTCATTTTCCCTGGTGGAATGGGGGGCCAGGCTTAGCGGGCCTGGGCCTCCATCCTTACTGCAGCCTCCTAGGCCCAGCAGCTGGGACAGGCACCTACCTGTCCACACACAAGCAGTCCCTTCATCTGAGGTAGGATAATGCCAGTAGCAATCCCAGTCCATGGTGTGCATGTGACCTCGGAGATGCTTTGCCTTACCAAGCTGTAAAATGACTTGCCAGTCTCTACCTGGCATGCTTGCTGTCTTCCCCTCTGTTTCTTTTTGGGCACATCAGACTCACGTACATCCTGGAGGCATAAATGTTTATAGAGTAACAAATGGTGCTTTGGAGACTAGAGCTCTTAGCAGTAGCAGACACCAGTGCTTCCATAAAATGGACAAGGGGCTTTAAGACGGGTTACCTCATTTGGCCCAGGCCAAGTCTCTGAGGTGCAGGTGGGAGCTACTGTTGTCAGTTTTAGCTGTGCTGGATGAAAGCACAAGAAAAGCCCATGTGTGAGCAGTAGCAGACCTGACTTAAATCTGGTTTGGCTAACCCCAAGTTCTTGATTTTATTTTTAAGACAGAGTCTGGCCATGTCGTGACTCTCATGCCTCAGCCTCCCAGCTGGGACTGCAGGCCTGCTCCCCTGCCCAGTTCTGTGTTAGACAGGGTCTCACTATGTTGTCCTGGACAGCCACGAGCTCAGCATCCTCCCACCTCCCTGAACCCCTGTGACTACACAGGCCCGCACTCAGCCTTTGGGTTGGACTGGGAATCAAACCCCAGCCTCCCGTGTGCTCTTAGTAGTGCATGCCACTGTGGGTGGTTCTCAAAACCTTTTTTTTTTTTTTGTTAATTTATTTATTTATTTAGGAAGGAAGGAGAGGTTTTTGCTATAGGGCGCATGTGCTCGCCAGAAAGAGAGAGACAAAAAGTGAGAAATCACCCCCTACGGGGGATGGCCATGCCACAATTCCCTCTTCATTCTCTTCTTGGGATCTTGGGCACGCACGCACACACACCCAGCGTGAGTTCAAGCCTCCGGGTCCAAACGGGTCCAAGCCGCCGGACTCAAACGGCGGTCAACTACACAGGAGTCCAGCGACATAGCCATTATGCCAACATCTGATCCCTCCAGGCCTTCATTTTTAAATGTTGTAATCATTCCACAGTTATATAAATAAATCATTCTTTATGGTTAGCTACGGTCAGGAGATTAGAACAGCAGTCTTCTGATGACTCTGAACAGATATCGTTGTAATTCCCAGACTTCATTTTTGTCTTCTCTTTCTACAGGGTTTGTCTCGCTGAGGTGTACCAGGATAAAGCACTTATCGGAGATTTCATGAATCGCAAATGTGACTATGACGACCCAAAGGTAGGTCCATGCCATTGAAAGACTCTGCCTGCTCTAAAGGCAGGGGTTTCTAGGTTCTGGCCTGGTCCTCTGGACTTCAGCTTCTGCCAGCCTTACCAGCACAGATTTTTTTTGTGCTCTTTTTGGGAAATCAGCTTGTCAGTACTTTGGCTTCGGACTTCATTTGATCTGGCCTCAAACTCCAGTTTTTAAAGATGGTTAGAATTTGACATGCTCCTTTGAATTGCTGCTGTGTCTTGGGCCTATTTTGTTAGGAAAAGAAAGCTCTTCTGGAATTACAGAAAGCTAGGCTTCTCGGAAAGTGGGCTGTTAGGAGATGGCTTTTCTTTCTGTTTTCTGGGGCTGAAGTGGTGGCCAGTAGAGAAGGGAGTCGGAATTCCAGGCCCAGGTTTCCCTGCTCTCTGCTCCAGAGTCTACTCACTCCTCGCTCATTGAGCTGATACTGGATCTGCCGCCTGTGTGTCAGGCAAGGCCAGTGGAAAAGGACATGTACCCCTTTTCTCAAGAGAGTCACAGGCGAGGACAGACAGAGCTGTGACTGGTTCTGGCAGAACTGAGCCCTCAGCTCCAGGAGAGAAAAGCACAAGCCTACCGAGGTCAAGGAGGAGTATCAGGAAGACTGGATTCAGTGACAGAAAAACTCAGCATAACAGGGCCCAAGGTTTTGTGTTTCCCGTGTGTGAAGCAGTCAGGTAGGCAGTCTAGCCGGTGCAGCCGAGCAGAGAGGTCAGCAGCTTCCCAGGTCCAGTCCGCCACTTGGTTCTCTGCCCGTCGTGGTCAGCTTTCTGGTCACGCCTGGGTGCAGCTTGACTGCCAGAGCTCAGGTCCTCACAGTAGAACCCCAGGGCACGAAGTGGGCAGAGGGGCAGCACTAGGTCCCCAGAGCCTAAGTATCGGAGGAGAAAACTTTCCCAGAAACCCCTATCAGATCTGGGCCACTGTGGGGGGGAACAGTTAGCAGGCGGGTGGGTGGTTAGCAGATTGCTGAGTGACTTAGACCATCCTCACTCATCCCAGGGGGCCAGGCATCCTTTATCCTTTGTCCCCAAACCTAATTGAGGCTGGCTCCATTAAGTAGAAAGAATTAGGGATGAGCAAAATACAGGACCTACAGTATCTGCCACAGAGGGCTTTAGGTTTTTTGGTTGTTTTTTTTTTCCTTTTCTCCTTTTTATACACAGGGTCTTGTAGTCACTGTCCTCCTTCCTCAGCCTTCCAAGTAGCTGAAACCATAGGCGTGCACCACTATCCCCAGCTCTTTCACATAGGGTCTTGCTGTGATTCTCAAGCCAATCTCGAGCTCAAGATCCTGCTGCACAAGTCTCCCTGAGTTGTTGGGATTACAGGTGCAAGCCACCACACCTGGTGTTTACGTTGGACTAGGAATTGAACCTGGGCCTCCCGTGTGGTCGTGGCCTGCAGAGCAGTGTCTTGCCACCACCACAGCCGCTGCAGCTGTTAGAGGGCTTTTCAAAGGCGTTGTGCCTGCATGAGACTCAAACGCTGAGGCCAAGGCGGTGGAAGAAACCTCGGTGACTAGGGGTGTAGTGTTATGGCCGCAGCCAGCTGCAGCAGGCGTCTTGCCTTCACAGCCACATAGCCTAGGGGAAATTGGGAATTTGTCCTCTTGCATTAGACACAGAGTGACAGAATCAATCTGCTTGTTAAAACAGCTGTTCTGGTCACGGGGGGAACTGAATTTGAGGGTATGTGGTAGCCAGGCCTATGAGGAGGCCACGGTGTGGTCTGAGTCTGGACTGCGAAGGGTGCACTGTGGGTGTGGAGGAGGAGACCAATTTGGGGTTCACCCATTTGAGTGTGGGACTGGAGGAGAAGGAGATGGAGGTTGGCGAACTGGGGAGGATCAGAGGAGGGAGGTGATGAGGGGAGCACAGGCTAACAGGCTCTGGGCACGCTCTGGGCATTTAGGGGACAGCAGGAGCTGTGTTTGTAGAGAGCTGCTGATGCAGGTGAGAGGCCGTCCACGTGTTAGTGACAACGAGTGCCTCAGATTTCTGAGCACAGTGGTAGGTGTCTGTTGCCTGAGGGTGGGTGTCTGCTGTATTCACAGACAGGAAAGGCAGGAAAGCCATGTGGCTGGGCGCCTTTTCTCACATGTGGCTGCTGGGGGACTTGTTACAAGGGAGCTCTTGGTGCGTTTTAGCAAAAACCTCCCTTCAGTGAGAGAAAGGGCTTCACGTCTCAATCCTCTCCTATTAAAAGGTTTGTGCCAAGGAATACAAAGAATTTGTGTGGAGGCTTCAGAAGAAGTTCAGTTCAGCTCTAAGGAAATCCAGCCTTGAAATCCCAGACACACTCCATGAGCTGTTTGCCAGGTAAGGTTCTTTTGGGATGGGTTCATGTGGTACTCAGTCAGCTGCTCAGAACTGCACCAGGCGTCCCCTTGTCACCAGGTTCCCAGAGCACATGGCACCTGGTTGGCTTTGGAGCTCACCTGCCTATTTCTCCTCTCTCGGTGCCACTTGCTCTCCTCTGGGTGATTTGGGAACAGCAGGGGCACTGCCTCTCCTAGCACCCTGCCGGGGACTTGCATCCATTACCATGGGGCCCTGCAGCTGACTAATCCGGCATCCTTGAGAGTTCTTACTCTTTCCTGCCCAGCCACCCAGTATCTAGAAGAATATATCTAGGTTTGAACACAGAGCCCTTGACATTTCAGAATCCACAGCTCTGCCAACTCAGCCTGCTTTCTTTGGCCTCATCACAATGTGCATCCCTTCTCTGCACCACCCTCATCAGTGAATCCTCCCTACCAGTCACAGCGGCTCTTGATGTCTTCCTGTAAAGAGATGACATCTCGCGTACCTGTGAACTGTGCAGTGCTTCTGCTCTCTGCATTTCAGCTGGAAGTTGTTTCAGTTCATTCACTGAACACTTATCTTACGTAGGCCCACTGTGTGTCAGGCCTAAAAGCATGGTTTTTAGTCACTTTTGGAGTTGATGCTATTTTAGAAGTTTGGGTTTTGTTTTTCAGTAAATTGTTCCCCAGAATTCCCAAATGGCATGATTTAAGTTCGGTTCTAACGGTGTTTCAGTGGCCTGTTTACCTGTTTGTAATGACCATGCCCACAGTATTTAGTAGTTACTGGGCAGCTTTTACACATTTGAAAACCAGTAAAATGAGGGTCTTTAAAGTTGAGTGTTGAATCATTTAGAGGAAAGAAATACAGTTCTAACAGTTCAACACTAATTTTGATCGTGAGCATTCTGGAAGGCTAGGCAAAAGAGAAACAATCCCATATTTTTCTCGTTTGACTAGAGTGCTTCAGATACTTTCCTGCAAAGCTGCTTTTCCCTGCACTGAGTGTAGGAATAATGTACAATTGCGAAGCTAAATTTTTCTTGGCTTAATTAAAGCTAAGAAATTTCTTGGAAATGGCTATGTTTTTACTGGGTCGTCGGGAAAGTCATGGCACATTTTTGCACGGAAAGATAGAAAACTGCGTTGTGACTTTCCCACGACCTAAGAGAAACTTTTATGGCTTAATACTTGCACTTATTTACTTGATATGAATAGAATACAATACTACATGATATCCAAACCATAGATGGGGAATGACATTCAGTTCCAGCACCTAGTACAGCTACTGTCTGTGGGGCATTTTCTTCCAGTTTTCTCTCGTGCCTGTTTCACATTCTCCACCCTTAACCATTAGCAATGGATCCCTGCCAGTTCACATTTTCCCTTGTGGCTTCGTGTCAGTGAATTGCTCAATTTCTCAACTTACTACAAGTAAAAACATGTGTTTTTTGTTTGTTTTCATTTTAATTTACCTGTCCAGTTTGATCTTGGATGAGTTTAGTTAATATTTTCCCCAACATTTTAGCCAATGAATGGCCACCTTGAGGGACCAGCAGATGGTGGAAGAGTGATATCACTGGACTCATGTAGTTGACCACAGTTCGAGTCCTGGACTCTGCAGCTTCAAACTCATGCTGTGTGTGTGTGTGTGTGTGTGTGTGTGTGTGTGTGTGCGCGCGCTTGCCCAAAATCCTGGGAAAAGAATGGAGGAGAAGGGATTGTGGTGTAGCCTTCCCCTCTGGGGAGGTAATTTCTCACTTTATGTCTCTCTCAACCTATCTCTCCAGGGAGTGCATGCACTCTATAGCAAAAAATCTCTCAAAAAAAGGCCACCTTGAGCAAACATTAGCTCAGTTAGTAGATATTTGCTTTGTTCCATTGACATGGTCTTTTATTTCTTACTCAGATACCGAGTTTTGGTGATTGGAGATGAAAAAGGTCAAATCAAAGCAGATGAACTTAATAGGCAAGTATTGATTATAGTGTAACTTTTTTCCTCAGCTATATGATTTGGTTGCCTGCAGTCTAGCACAAGGGTAATCGAGGGTCACATCTAGGCTGCCGCCTGTAAATACAGTTTTATTAGCACATAACCCATCCCCATTCTATGTGTTGTCTTTGCTGCTTTCAGACTATGTTAAGTCATTGCAGTAGGGGCTATCTAACCACAAAAATAAATAAAATATCATCTATCCCTATAGAAAAGCTTAGCCAACACCTCACCTCAGTTATCACTGGCCTAGTCTTAAGTGAGCTGGGAAAAGGTTTGATCTCTATGAGCTTTCCACATAAAATTCTGGTTAGAAGGCTCAGGTGTTTTCATTTTCCAGCTTGGAAAATGACAATATTCAGTTGGATTTCAGCTTCGTTTTTCAGTGAGAAGCCTGTTCTCTGCAGTTTCAAGTTAGGAGGAAAGAGAAATGTAAGGCCTAACTACCACTTGTCTTGTAAACCTACTCCAGGTTGGGTCACCCCTAACCCACTAGGTAGGAACATTTTTCCTCTAGAACTTGGTCACTGTTTGGTAAGGCCTATGAACTGTTGTTTGTTTTTCCTTGCTTTGTGACTCGTTTGGGCAGCTGTGTCACTTTTGTGCTATTGAACAGTTGGTGCAGTGCCCTGTGGCCAATGGTCTTATGTATTTCTGACCCCATCACCCTCCCTCCCTTTCAGTGTGGACGACATCCACTTTCTGGTGCTCCAGAACCTGATCCAGAGCACGCTGGCTCTCTCCAACAACCAGATGCAGACCTGTCAGTCATTTCAGGTGGGTGCCGGCTTCCAGGCAGCAGGTGCGCCCTGGGCCCTACTTCTCAACTGTGGGTCTCAGGCCTGATTCCTCTGAGACTCCAGCCCTCACTTTTTTTTTTTTTTTTGAGAGGTTTTTGCTATGGGGTGCGTGTGCTCGCCAGACAGAGACAGAAAGCGAGAAATCACCCCCCAGGGGGGATGGTCACGCTGCAATCCCTTCTCCTCCATTCTCCTCTCGGGATCTTGGGCACACACACACACATGCGCCCGGCATGAGTTTAAGCCACTGGGTCTGGGACTCGAGCTGCAGTCAACTACATGGGAGTCCAGTGACATAGCCGTTACGCCAACTGCTGGTCCCATCCAGCCCTCACTTCTTTCACCTTTAGTTATTTGCTTTGTAATTGTCTTATTTTTAATTGTTTATTTAGATTGTGTGTATTTAGTGCATTCACCTAGATGATTTCCTGTATTATAGGCATTGTGACATAATTGCCACAGTCAAGCTTTTTTTTTTTTTTTTTTTTTGAGAGTCTTGCTATAGGGTGCATGCTTTCGACAGAGACAAAAAGGGAGAAATCACCCCTCAGGGGGATGACCGCGCCACAATCCATTCTTCATTCTCCTCTCAGGATTTTGGGTACACATGCATGTGCACATGTACCTGGCATGAATTTCAAGCCATCAGGACCAGGACTCAAACTATAGTGGATCATGTGGGAGTCCAGCGCCTTAACCACTACGCCACCTGCTGGCCCCACATAGTCATGCTATTTAACTTATTACCCCATGTAGTTACTGTTTTTGTTTTTTTTTAATGGTGAGAACACACTCGGATCTCCCTTCCTGCACTTCCAGGCATGGCGTGTAGCCGTTCCCAGTCACCGCGCTGAGCCTCAGCTCTCTGGGCTTGCTCCTCCTGTGTAACTGAAACTGCGTACCCTTTGCCAGAGTCTTCCCATGTCCTCCTCTCATCTTTCATGTGTTTGGGGACAGGAGACCTCCAAAATCCCTCCCAGAACTGAGGTTCTAAGTCTAATATTTAAATAAGGAAATGAGGTAGAAGAGGGAGTGAGGTGTGGCAAAAGAACTGAGACAGCGATTGAGCTGAACAGCAGATCTTTTCAAATGATGGCATAAATGTCCCGAAGTCTGGCTTGTTCGTGATCTCCGGGAGGGAAAGCTGCCTTTCTGGGGGCAGTGAGTCATTACTTTCTGAGAGCTAAAAGATTCCCACTGCTACTTTATGGGGGCCGAAGGAGGATGAGGGAAAGCAAAGCAAGTTCCAGTGAATCCCCTACAGAGCCTGGGAAGTTGGTGGGCTTAGGTTTTTCCTTATTGGGAAACTTGAGGTTCAGAGAAGTTGAAACACATGCCTAAGATCACAGAGCTCCATCATTACAAGGCCGCAGAAGAGGTGCCGCGAGGGGCCTGCTTCCTAAGCCAGAGCTGCCCAGGGCCTCACGAGGCTCCCTTGGTGTTAGTCATCACAAGTGTGCATTCTAAGTAGAACCTGTTCACTTGGTGTTTATTGTCTAAACATGAAAGTATGTCCCTCCGGCTTACATTAACAGATCAACTCAGTTTGGACTAAGGGGGAAAGTGAAGCTTAAAGCAGATGATATTTTCTGATCCCCCTGAGTTTAGATGGGTGGAGTCCCAAAATTTTAAGGTCAGTGTCTCCTCAGTCCTGCTGTCCCTCTGACAGAGCCAAGGAGGACAAAGCCACGGTGCTGTCACTGTTCAATCCGCAGTTCTACCTGGTCTGGTAGTGTGGACTTAGGAGATCACTTTGGCCCGTGTGCCTCAGTCCCCTTGGTCATGGGGGGTAGGGGCACCAAGCCATCAGAGAGCTTACCAAGCCTTTGAGAGTGATTTTCTGGGCCATTGTTTCTGAGGACAGTTGAGTAGGGGCTTTCTCAGAGGCTAAATGCTAGGCACTCTGGAATTGCTGGTTGGTTGGTGGAACCAACCCTTGCCGTGACCCGTACGGCTGCATGCGTGTTCTGAGTGGAAATGGCTGTGGATTAGAGATTAAATGTAAAAATAAATACATAAAGACACACAGCGAAAAGCAGGGATTGGGTGTCCAGACTCCTCTGACGGAGGCAGCCATGGCCCCAGTGAAGTTAGCCCCAGCCGAGCCATTCCCAAGTTTATTCTTTTAGAGGGCAGAAAAGGGGGGAAGAAGAAGAAGAATTCAAAGCCAGTTGTTTTCAGAACTTAATCGGCTGAAGATGTGAAGACCTCTGGTGCCATGTCGTTCTACATGGGTTTTATCTTTCCAGGTCTTTTCTGATTAACATATGGCTTCCTTTAATCGATACCATCTTGCAGTTTTGACAGAGACAGACTGTTTTCTTTGTTACGGGCTTCCACTAGCCTTGCAGATTCGGTCCAAAAAACCTCATTTCTGCATGTGTTTAAAGGTCACCATTCTGTTGTTCAGATCGGGCAGCTCCCTACAAGCCCTTTTAAGAAACTCGGAGTAGGTAGGGGCTGGCAGATGGCATGGTGGTTAAAGGCACTAGACTCCCACATGGCCAACCATGGTTTGAGTCCTGGACATAGTAACTTGATTTCTCTCTTCCTCTCTCTCTCTCTCTCTCACTCTGTCCCTCTCTGGTCAAATTTAAATATATAAATAAATAAATAGAGAAAGAAAGAAAGAAAGTAAAATTTAAAAAAAAAGAAAGGAAGAAAAGAAACTCAGAGTAACAGAGACCCTGTTCGTCCTTTAGACCTCTGAGTGGCTCTTCTTCAAGCAGGGCCCGAGGCCATAAGACTCAGCCATCTGAGCCTTGAAGTCACTCTGTGGCATGAAGCCACAGGGCACCAGGAGTGGCTAGAGCAGCAGCAGGTGGGTCACATAGACAGCAGATCTGGCTCCCTGCCCTTGTCTCTGATCGGTTACTTCCCCTGTGAGCGATCAACCGCAGCTTCAGTGCACTCACAGTCTGGCTCGCTCTTGGCCAGTGGCCAGCCGGAAAACCTTGCTCACCTGTGACATACTGTGTTGCAGACTTTCCGCCTCTACCGGGAGTACAAGGACCAAATTCTCGTGAGGGCCTTTATGGAGTACCAGAAAAAGAGCTTGGTCAATCGGCGTCGCGTCAACCAGATGCAGGGCCCCAAGAAGAACCGGGCCTTGCCCTTCGTGCCAATGTCCTACCAGTTATCCCAGACCTACTACAGGTAAGTGCTGCTCAGGAGCTGGGGAAGCTGAGGACAGAGGCTGAGCCAAGAGTAGCAGTGGGCCCATCCAGTGTCATCAGCGTGTGGGGGCCTGGGCCTGCTCCGGCCTCGTGTGCAAGATGCAGGCTCCTGTCGACACCTGCTCAGCTTCGGCAAATGCTGGTAATATTTTGTGCTAGGAGCATTAATTTACAGGTAATTTCCTTTTCAGTAGTCAAACGGGGTAAAATCAGTTTCAAATTTAACAATTGGCCCAGTTAGAAATCCACCCTCCTGACTGGGCTTCACTTCAATCCCTAATCCTCATAGCTGGGAACTCACAAAGCTCCTGCCTTGTGGGCTCCTCCCTCCCCGTCCTACCTTTCTGGCCCCATTTGCAGCCCCCAGCATGGGGTATGGAGGGATGCTCAGTGAAGCATCTTCCTGGAGCTCCCTCCTCAGGGGGGCACTCTCACAGCTTGGCTCTGTCGCCATGGCACATTTGGCATCTCACACCACCAGTCTCCTGACCACGTGTAGAGGAAGTCCCTTTAACATCCCTGAGGAGTGTCGCCTTGATGGCCTTCCTCCACCTTGTCTTCTCTCCAGCCCTCTGGCCTGCAGGGGGCTGCCTCCCATCACCATAAGACAGCGCTTAAGTCTGCTTTTGGTTCTTTTATCCCATCTCTTTGCCTGGGACTCCAGGTACTTTCCTCTCTTAATGCTCATGTTCATGCCCCTCAGGCCCCTTTGCCTCCTAGGAAGCAGACATGGCAGCAGAGCATGTGGTTCCGAAGCTAACAAGGCCCTCTGACCCGGAGCCACTCTGTGCACTGTGTGTCTTCGTCTGGGAACTGATGGGTGGGCCATAATCAGGAAGACCTCTTGGGTCCCTCTTCTCTGACTGTTGTTTCTGGGTCACAGAAAGTTACACTCTGGATCAGCTGAGGATTAACATTCCACGATTACTTTGTGGAGACAGTGAGATCAGCCAGGGGCTTGTCCTGTCCACTTCCCTGCGTGTGAGATCAGGACTGGCTTCACGTAGAGATTGTTAATATGGAGAGCACATCCCCCTTGCCTGGACCAGCAGCTGTTTGTTATGAATGCCTGTAGGGTGAAACGTAAGAGCTTGGGCTCCACAGAAAGATGGGACCCTGCCTGAGGCTGCTCTGGGGAGCAGGAGGGAGGCATGAACCCCACTAGGCCAGGATGCGGTGCCATCACTTGAGAAGGAGAGAGCCTTAGAGGAGAGCTGCTGTGGTAGTGTTGACCAGGTGGTGTAATTTTGCTCCTAGTCCATCCAGGGGAGGGCTTCCACCAGCCATTCCTTGCCAGGCGCTTTCTCTTCTTTTGTCTGTAGGATTTTTACATGGCGATTTCCAAGCACCGTCTGCACGGAGTCGTTCCAGTTCTTTGACACAATCCGGGCTGCTGGCAAGTTAGACCAGCCTGATCGTTTTTCTTTCAAAGACCACGATGATGACAGTTCCACCGACATGGTAGCATTTTCTTTGGACGGCCCTGGAGGACATTGTGTGGCCGCCCTGACCCTTCTCTCTCTGGGCCTCGTGTCCGTGGATGTCAGGATCCCAGAGCAGATCGTCGTGGTGGACAGCACCATGGTGGAGAGCGACGTCATAAAGAGGTAAGAGCTGAGGTGCCTGCACGTGGCCCTGACCATCCGTGATCTGGGCTCACGTGTGCTCAGGGATCTTCAGGCATCGTCATTTCCCTTCGCCGCCATGGTGTCTGCAGTCTTACGTGCTGAGCCATCTGGTCTTTTACTCAAGTGTGTACTGAGGTTTTCTGTTTCGACAGGCGCTGTGCCAGGCATTTGCTGGATGAAGACAAGTAGGGTGTAGTGGTGCTGTTAGGGACCCCATGGGGCAGGCCTCACAGGCCTGTAACTGGGAATGGCAGCACAGTTTCCAAGGAGCCATCTGCTGGTGCCTCCAGGTGCCATGGAGTCTCCCATAGAGAAGGACCTGAACAGCATGGCCAGGAGGGGGCAGACAAGAAGGGACGATGGCCTATTTGCTGACAGCTGTAGCTCCAGAAAGCCTTTATGGGAAATGAAGGGTTTTTCTGGACAGAGATTTGGGAGGGTTTGCTAGGCAAAAAGAACAGACCTGGCAAAAACACGAATGTATGGAAAGGGGTCAGCATGCCGCATGGGGAGGGATGAGAGCAGACAACTCTGGCCTTGTAATGAAGCACAGCCAGCTTCCTGTGGGCTGCTGCAGCATGGAGGCCACAGCTACGGCAGCATTACGTGGTCTCTGGGAGGAGGGAGAGATGCAGGAGCAGCAGATGGGCTGGGCCTCTGTCCAGGACCTAGGTCTTACTTCTCTCCTAGCTTGGGGAAAGATGGGGGCCTGGATGAGGAGGAAGATGAGGAGGAAGACCTGGAGGAAGGCACAAGCAGCAAGCGCCGGAGCATTGATATGAAGCGGGCCTCCCGGACCAACTACTTGCTGATGAGGGGCTTCTACGCCCCCGGCATCATCAGCCTCCGCAACCTCAACCCCAACGACAACATTGCGGTCAACTCCTGCCAGGTGAAGTTCCGGCTCCGCCACACCCCTGCGCCGACCCACCTGGAGCCCACTGGTGAGTGCTCCCCACCGCAGCTGCCCCCAGACCGTGGCTCTGAAGGCCAGGTGCACGGCCACGGTCAACACAAAGGAAGCCCCACCCGTCCTTGGCAGCCCACTGAAACACCATCAGTGCTGTGCTCACCCCACTGTGGCCGTGCGTCCCACGCCGCCTCTGTTGTAACCAAAGTCGTGCATGCACACGCCGCCAGTCAGGGAGAGCGGCTTGTGAGGATGGGCAGCAGTTCCCCACACACACACACCACCACACCCAGGCCTGTTCTCCACAGGCAACCTTTCTCAGTTTCTGCTTTTAGTTCTCTGACACTGAAGTGTATACTTTCATGGAATTTTAAAGTACCATCTTTTGACCCTTTTCTATGAAAGATAAGTGCCCATAGGGGCCAGCAGATAGATGGTGTAGTGGTTACTCCCACTGTCTGCTGTCTACATCCTCCCCCCACCCCTCAGTGAGCGCACATGCCCTGAGGCAAAAACCTCTTTTTGGGGCGCATTCACTGGCTGGAGAGACAGAAACAGAAAGTGAGAAATCACTCCTCTGGGGGATGGCCACTCTGCAGTCCCTTCTCCATTTCAGGCATGCATGCACTCGCACCTGGTGTGATTTTCAAGCCACTGGGTCTGGGACTTGATCCGTGGTCGGCCATGTGGGAGTCCAGTAACATAACCATTACACCATCTGCTGGTCCCAGCAAAAACCTCTCTAAAAAGAAAAAGTGTCCATCCCTATTCGTCATCCTCACTACTTCCCATTTTGGTCCTTTTTTTTCCTGCCAATTACCTTTGAAAATGTAAATAAGTTTCTTAGATCTCTGTCATGTTCTACTTTAGGTGTCTCTCTTTCTTCCCACTGACTGAAATGAGCCCTTTCTCTTCCCTCCATTCTACCCTGTCCTCCCTAGGGCTGACTTCCCTTTACATCTGTCTACATTGTTGAGAGCCACAGTATTTACTATCAATTTTGAACCCCAGTTAGGACAGGAATGCAGTGATAACCCAGAGAAAGTCTCGGTAGAGACATGTATCATAGGGAGCAGAAGCAACCGGCCCTGGCTGGCAGAAGTGGGAAAGTGTGGGAGGGCCCAGGGTGCTGCGAAGGTTCTAAGGAGCAACGAGGAGGGGAAGCCTTAGGAAGGAGAGGGGAAACAGCCAGAGGCAAGCCCCGCTTCCTGCACCCCCCACCTCCAGCTCTGGGGTGTACAGTTTTAAGTCATGAGTTGGAGTGCCCTTTTGGCCAGGGGAGCCAGTCCATTCAGCCCAGTCAGGGGCCCAGGGACACAAATCAGGAACCTAATGTCCAGGGCCCAGCATGTTAGCCTGCAGGAAGCAGAGCTGACCCTGGAGTGTGTCCTTCAGTTTCACCTGTGCGGAGGTCTGGGGAGGGGGCTTCTGTCTGGCTGTTTCCAACCCTCCTCTGTGTCTTCACAGCCGCCGTTCCTCTGGATGAGCTGTCAGTGGGAACCTCCTGCCTCCCTGACAGACTCACCAGGCTGATAACTCCCCCGGAAGACATCTGCAGCCTGGAAGACTTTGTCCAGCAGGTGGAGCTGTCTGGCTATAGGCCAGAAGACGTGTCTGCTGCCTTGGCTATCCAGGGGGCCATCGCAGCTACGGGTTGTTTTGGAGTTGACATGGAGGAGCTGAACAGACAGTTCTCGGACTTCCAGGAGCCCGGTGGTGAGCGCACCAGGGCATTCACAGACTACGTCCAGGTGAGCTGTGCCGAGTGTTAGCCTGAGGACACTAAGGTAATGGCTCACTCAGAGGCCAGATGCACACTACAAGTGGGCTTGGCTTAGGGCATATAGTGGGTGTGTTGATTTTTTTTTTAAGTAGCCATCTTTTTTTTTTTTTTAGGGAGATTTTTGCTATCAGAGTGGATACACTCACCAGAGAGACAGAAAATGAGAAATCACCTTTCAGTGGAGATGGCCACACTGCAGTCCCTTCTCCTCCATCCTTGTGGCTCCCATCTCAGGATTTGGGGCACACACACACATGTGCCCAGCATGAGATTTAGGCCACTGGGTCCAGAACTCAAACCGTGGTAGAGCTGTTGGTATTTTTAAAATCAAGATATTTGGGGGCCAGCAGGTGGCATGGTTGGGGTGCTGGACTCACAGATGGCCAATCGTAGTTCCTGTTTTTCCTCTCTCTCTCTCATCTCTTTCTGGTGAATGCACTTGCCCCATAGCAAATTAAAAACTAATGGTAATAAGTAAAACTAAATACATAATTCTTTTTTAAAAAATCAAGATGTTGTCTAAAATCCAACTCCTGAATATTGAAAGGTCTGGCCACACCAGATACTAATGGAGCCCAGCGGTGGCTGCCTCTCCCTAGGAGAGACCATGTCCTCCCAGCTCCTAGAACCCCTATAATCCCAAGATCCACTCCCACTCCACTCACCACTTTACTTACCTAGTCTCATTGATTCAGTAATCCTTGAACCCAAAGAATATAGTAGCAGGTGGGCTTTGAACTGCGTCCCCTGGGGGCATGCTTTGTCGGTTCTGGGCATTGTTGACAGTTGCTAAGCAGTAGGGTGCCGCGTTGGTTGTGAGGGGGCTTGTGGAGATGACTGCCTCGATGTTCGTGTGGGAGCAGGGCCTGCGAGACCCAGAGAACAGGGATTGTTCCAGGGAATTCTCCACCTCCCATTTCTCCAATTTAGAAGGGAAGCTAGCATTTGTCATTTCTAAGCAGTTTTTTATGAGTGCAGGAAATACCATCTCATGGTGTTCGTTGTTCATAAACATCTTTACGATGTATCCACAGCCCTAAGAGTTGAGCCAAAACTCAGAGAGGGACAAGATGGGATTGTCCCAAAGCCATGGTGGCAGAGCCTAGGCACTGATGGTCGAGTAGTCCCTGCTCCTGCTCCCCCCATGCCCAGCCCAGGGCCCCTGATGCCACGCATCAACAGCGAACCCTCCCAGACCCACTCCACCTGGATGTGAGTCCTGGCTCTAGCTTGCCCACTGGGGTAACTTCCTCAAACCCTGAGTTGTGAAGTTTTTATATAAAAGTAAGAAGTGTAACAGTGACGTCTGTGTGCCTACTAACCAAGAGCCAGGGCACTGGGAAGGAGGGATGGTCTAAATGTGGAGGAGTCCTCCTCCCTTATGAGGGCTCACAGTGGCTCTTGTGGGAGAACACTGGCCGGGCTCAGAGACATGTGGAGTCTTGGTGGTTTTTGAGGGTGCAGCTGTGGTTCCACAGTGCTTCTCTTTCTGCCTCATCTTCTGGGGCACCCCGCCTGCTAGTGGCAGCCCAGGGATGGATACAGGCCCTTTCCTAATGGAACCTGCTCACGTCAGTCAGGCTGGGGGTACTGCCTTAGTTGACCCTTATGGAGCAAATTCCGCCTTCCTGGGTTCCCCGACAGACGTGTGTGTCCCCTGCTTTTCCAGGACCTCCTGGAGCAGCAGCAGATACTAGAAGTTGGAGGCAACACCGTGCGCTTAGTGGCCATGGCCTCTGCCCAGCCCTGGCTCCTGCATTCGATGCAGCTCAAGAACAAAGGAGAGGATTCTGACCCTCGAAGAGAAGAGCTCCAGGCCCGAGCCCCCAAGGTCCCTCTTGCTGAGGACAGTCTCTCCGAAGGGCAGGCTCAGCCTTCTCAGGGTCCGGAGAGCTCCAAGAGACGCTTCAGCTGGGCCAGTCAGAATACGGAGACTGATGCCAGTGGCGCCCAGATGCCCCCAGCCAAGAGGCCCACACTCCACGATGTGCGTTTGGGCCCTGGGCTTGGAGCAGAAGAGGAGGATGAATCCCAGGCCTTGGCTCTGTCCCCAGCTCCTGAAGACATAAGTACAGAGGGGCCTGAGGAGGAGGACCAAGAAAGGATGCCTGGCTCTCCTGGCCAGGAGCAGCCAGGCTACCAGATCCAGCCCACAGAGGGTTCTGGACAGCCCCGAGGTATGACCTTGTCTCTTCCCCTCCCTTACCCCAGCCTGCCCATTCTCTTCCTCGAACCCACTTGGCTGCAAAGGGGGCTTTCCTCTAGCTTTCCATAGCCTGGGCCTCAAGGGGAGGGAGCCCTCGACTGGAGAGCTTCCACTGGAGAACATGAAGTGTCCTGAACTCCTGAAGACCCGGAAGTTCACAGCAGTCTGGAAAGCTGCTGGCTCAAACTGGTTTGGCAGGCAGTGCCTCAGAGCAGGGGCCCGAGACAGGCAGGCAGACGTGTGCCTGCGGAAACTCGCCTTCCCCCTGCCATGGCAGTCCTTCCTGTCTCAGCGGTGACCTTTCCCTGTAGTTTCATTATTTTCTGTGAGGTGTTCGCCAAAGGAGGGGTTGACAGATGGAACCCGAGGCGCTCACAGGCCTCAGCTACAGGCGCTCTTCGGGGCTCCACACCATGGTGTGCTTGTAGTGTGCTGGCTTTGGCCCCACGACCTGGCCGCCATGAGCGTGTGTGCTCTGCGGGGACAGTGATCACATCCCTGGGCTCACCGTGCGTGCACCGTGCATCCTGAGCCTAGCCGTGCCTGGCTCTGAGTGCTGGCTGCTCAGGACCATGTTGGATGCATGGGAAGAAAGCATGGGCTCCTCCTGCTTTGTAAGTCACTTGCTGTTTTTCTCCATCAGGGTTTGCCGTGAGCTCTGTGGCCAGCACCCTCCCACTGCCTGCCCGGCAAGGGTGAGTGTATGATTCTGGTTTAAGGCCTGCCTGGGATGGGGGCTTGTCCCCAAGGTCCTTCACAGAGGTGCGGGTTTGAGTAGTTTGCCCAGCATGTTGGTCCTCGGCGAGGGGGCCCTGGAAAGGTGTGGCAGCACGGGCTGGATTCTGTCGATAGCTTTTAGTGCTGGGGTCAGTCGGGAGCCAGGAGCTGCTCTTCTAAGATGCCCCTGGGCTCCCCGAGAGACCCCAGACTATCATGCGCACATCGCTGGGGCTACCCATGGCCCACAGGGATCCCATCCCCGTTTACAGATGTGGGAAGGGCCCAGAGAGCTGTGCCCTTCCCCAGGGTTATAGAGCCAGTGTGGCCAGACGGGCCAGAGCTCCAAACCACACCAGGGCAGCCTCCTCCCTGGGGATTTCATCTTCTCTCCTAGAGCCTGTGGCGGCCAAGTTACTAACTGGCACAGGATGGGAACCCATATAGCAAGAAGGGTGCACTCTTCCGACCCAGAAGAGCTACCTTTGGAGGCTGCCAACATTTGGGTCCTGTAGAATCCTTTCTGTGAAGGGCATGTCCCCGGGTGTGCATGCTGTCCTCAGGTTGGGAGGCCCCAGGTGCCCGTATCCTGGCTCCTGAGAGCTCCTGTTGCCCAACCGTGGCAGCCAGAACCAAGTATCCAGGGTCCGCCCCCGTTTTCCCAACCCTGGCCCTATGTGACAGATCAGTCCCCAGCTAACAGCAGAAACCTGGGTTCGCAGTTCAGTGTGCCTGGGGCCTCAGGCAGAGCATAGGAGTCTGGCCAGAGAGTAGAGGCAGCCATGACCCAGGAAGCCGGGTGGAGCTGGCAGATCCAGGGCACTTAACTCTTGGCCCTCTCCTGCCAGTATGGAGTGCCATAGGGATCATTGGCTCTTCACGGCTTTGGTTACAGCCACATCTGAGCAGGTCCCTGCATCATGGCTCCACTCAGCCAGGCATTGCGGGCCCCTCTGTCCAGACCTGAGCGAAGGGGGAGCTCAGAGACCAGAAGGTGGACAGTCCCCAGCTAGGCAAGGCACCAGACCTCACGGAGGCCTCTGTGTCCTGTCTGTGGATGAGCCACCCCTTCTGTCTCCCCTGAGCCCTGACACACTACTGCCTGACCCTGCAGGGACTTCGAAATCATCCACTTCGTCAGCCGCCCGTGGCGCATCGTGGACGGCCTCCTGAATCTGCCGGTGTGCAAGGGTATGATGGAGGCCGTGCTGTACCACGTCATGAGCCGGCCCGGTGTGCCCGAGAGCTGCCTGCTAGAGCACTACCAGGGAGTCCTGCAGCCCGTGGCCGTGCTGGAGCTGCTCCAGGTAGGGCACAGCCAGGGCTCAGGCGCAGAGCCCTTGGCTGGATGGCCGGGTGAGCTCAACTACAGGCTGCTTGCTGAGGGCGGGCTGCGCCTAGGAGTCTCCTGTTCAGGGTGTTCCCATCTTACTGCTTACCTCAGCTTCCTCCACACCCTTGGCAGGGAGGGTATGGTCCTCAGCCCTCTTTTCCGAGGCCACCCACCTCCTATAACCACCCTCAGAGGGTCCTTCAGCCCCATGCTGTCGCCCTGGCTGAAATACTGGCCTTGCTGTGGCTCTTGTCTCTAACACCTGTAGAGGTCACAAACTCACAAGCCCTCGGGCCCAGCAGACAGGCGAATGCCGCTCCATGGAGAGAGCTGGAGGCCTTGTGCCCCGCCCTCCCTCTCACCCCGCTCCCCTCCTCCCAGGGCAGATGGAGCCAGCTCAAGCTGACCTCTGTCCTGTACTCGCCAGATCAGAGTGCTTGGGGACACCAGGTCCTTGAGCTGCAAACTTCAAGTTCATTTTCAGGCCAAATGAAACCCCACTGGGAAGCCAGTTCAGGCCCAGGGCTGTCTGCCAGCCCCTACTGCTGTACACCCTCCTCAAGGGGTCTCACTTGCTGAGGGGTTCTGATCACTGCACCGTGCTGCTCTTGCTCTGGCCTGCTTAGACTCTGGATAAATCCCTGCTTACCTCTCAAGGCCGAGGTCATATGTACCCTGCTCTGAAGTAGCTAGTGTAAGATGTGTCTCAGCTTGAAGGGAAACTGGGAAAGGAGGTGGGAGCGATGCACTATCAACCTGGTGTTGTGGTGTCGCCAGGCCCTGGAGTTCCTCGGCTGTATCAGGAAGCGCTGGATGAGAAAGCCCGCGGCCGCCTCGCTCTTCTCCAAGCCCATGGTTCAAGAGGTGGACATGCCCTCCAGCCTGAGCGAGAGCTTCTTGGCGTTCTATGAGCCCACAGTGGACTGCACCCTCCGGTTGGGCCGCGTGTTTCCCCATGAGGTCAACTGGAACAAGTGGATCCACTTATAGGGTGCCTATGATCAGTCAGCGCCTCCCGCCTGCCTCCACCTGCCGGGCTGTCCTTGCCTGGTGGTTAGCAAACCCCCTGGAGCCCCAGGACATTGGTGTGTGCTGATCTTCCTCAGCAAGGGACGCTGCTCCAGCTAGAACGGTGCCAGCAGAGTTTCCCACTGCGTGGAACGCTGGAAAGGGCCACCACCTGCCTGCTCTGGGGCTCTTCCAGTCTGCCTATTTGTCACACGGGGAGTTGGTGCTTACTGTCCCAGCCGGGCTGGGACATGGGAGTGCATTTGTGGGCAGCTTCAGTCTCCTTCGCTCTCTCCTCTTGTTGCCGGGGCTTCTGGGCTGCTGCAGCTCTCTGAAAAGCGGCCTGTGGTGAGTTTGAGATGCCCTGTGGCTTGTCCCCCAAAGGCTTCCGAGGAGTGACCCCAGTGTGGGAGGAGAGCTGGCTCCCGGTGCCCAGGCGTAGCACATTCTAGGCACACCCTAGTTTTCACCGTGGGCCCATGGGGATGGGCTCTGGGCTGGGGGGTCTGCCCCGTCTATGCACACCTCACATTCCCGATTCCAGCCCCTACCTGAGGCTTCCCAAATGCCCAAGTGCCACTGAGAAGAAGGAGCCTTGTGGGAAACATGTCAGGCCAGGGGCCATGTGCCTTGCGCCCTGCTGCTACAGGGCCCAGAGAGACCACGACTCTCCTTCAGGCCAGATGCCCCGACCACTGAGGCTGGAATGTGCCACTCAGAGAGGCCCTGGCGGGCCCCCCACTGCTCTGGCACCCTTCACTGGCTGGTGCTGCCTGCCAGCTGCAGGTGAGGAGCCCTGTAGGTTTTAGTTTCGTTTGTTTTGTTTTGTTCTTTGAACTTCTTTCTTCATTTAAAAAAAAAAAAAAAAAAAAAAGGTGGGATTTTAGACATGGTTGAGCTGATGAGAGGTTTCTGAGGAGGGGTAAAGGAACCTGTTCCCAGTCCCTGAAATCAAACAGGCAGCTGCTTCTCCCAGTGACTTAGAAGCCTTTTCTTGTTCCCAGTAACCTCTTAGGCAATTAAAGTCAATCCCATGTTGCCATTAAAAAAAGCCAATTGACATTCCTCTCTGTCTCTCTCTGTCTGTCTGGCGAGCACACACGCCCTTTAGCGAAAACCTCTCCAAAAAAAAAAAAAAAAAAAAAAAGGTCTCCCTGGCATGTATTTATTTCATGTTTAAGTGAAGTAAAATGCATTTAGTTTTGTGATTCCTAAAGAATACTCTGGGGGTTCTTGCTCTTACCTGGGGAATAGCCAGAAGTAACTGTTCCCAATAAACTAGAGGAAAGGGGGAGGTTTGGTGCTGAGCGCTGTCAGCTCCTCACCTGCTTTCCTCTGCCTACAAGGCTTTGTCACCTTGTAAACTGGTCCCAGGCCCATGAGGACTCAGGCCTATGGATAGATTTCTTTCTTTGAAGTTCTCTTTAGCACACAATGTTTAAAATTGTCTTTTAATTAGTCGTCCATATTTTTTAAATTTGGAGGTGTCCATTAAAAAAATAAAGAGGACCGACGTCCCTGTATGTGACAGCCGGGAGCACTGAGCGCGGCTGCTCCCTAAGGGGACATGCTCCTGGACAGGTTCCATGTCTCAGCCACCATGGCAACTTCCTCACCTAGAACACGAGCCCTCGGGACATTGACCTTATGGGTCTGGCAGGGCCCAGCCACCATGCTCGGTTTCTGTCGGCCCTCTCCAGGACTAGGGTCCTGGTGCCGCCACGGGTGCTCAGCCCCTAGCTGTGTTCCTTTCTCCTTTCATTTTCAAGTGTAAAAATACAGATTTCCATGGGATTTTGTAAGATCGACTGGAGTCATGGATGGGATCCACTTTATAAACGGACGGTACTGGACAGCACTCAGTACTGCTGGGAGGGCATGGTGTGGCAGGTGAAAGGGGGTTTAGCACTCAGTACTGCTGGGAGGGCATGGTGTGGCTGGTGAAAGGGGGTTAGGAACCCAGCAGCTGCTCGTGCAATACCGCTCTCGGCATTTCATCCCAGCTAAGGGAGGCCAGATGAGCTGAGGCTCCACCGCAGGTTCCGTGGACTTCGTCTCCTTCCTGTGTGCCTACCTGAGGATGAGTCCAGCATGTGTGGGGAGATGTGGCGTGAGCTGGGGTGCAGTTCCCAAGCAGGGGTGGGCATCTGTGAATCCCACTCACATTCCCAACCGCTCTACCCAAGGATGAGCTGTTCCTTCTCCCTCCTTCCCTCTGTCCCCTGTCCTTTCTGTCTACCCACCTTTGCATCCTGCCTCCCACCCACTCACCGTCCTCCATCCTCCCGTGGTAGCTGTCTGCCTTGCCAAGCTCTGCAGAGAGATCTCCAGAAACCACAGGGAGACTAGAGGTTGGGCGAGGGGAGCCTTCAGCAGCCAGGCAGGTGACAGATGAGTGGGAGGTGGTGGGGAGACAGTAGAGAGCTGTAGCGGCTGTGGGAAACCAGGAATTCAAGTTTTGCAGAAAAGAAATGTGAAGCACTAACAAACACAACCCGTTATGGGCCGAAAGTGAGTCTTCTGTGCCTCCACTTCTATTGTAGTTGCCAGATTAGTGCTAGGCCACGCCCTGCCAGCCATTTCTCACACACACTGGGCAGGAAGGGCCCCCAGGCCCTGCCGGTGTCGTCTCAGTCCTGGCTGGCCACCCACACAAGATGGAGACTCCAGAGCCTGGTCACCCTTGCCTTTGTGTCTTTGGTTCCTCACCCCTCCAGTCTCACTCCCCACCCTTAATTCTTTTCCCAGGGTAAGCAGTATATGAATCCATTGTCTTTTAAACACTGAAAACATCACAGATACGGATAAAGCCTCAGCCTCCTCTCCTTGAAGGACCCTGGCAGGCCTTTTCTTTGCCTTTACACACGTGCACTCTGGAAAGCAGGGGCCTGTGGCACACTGACAGTGTGCCATCCGTGCAGCGACAGCACCTGCACGTCTGAACTCAAAGAGAGCCACAGGAGATGCCCAGTCCTGATGTCCCAGCTCACTTTCCCACAGGTGAGCATTCAAATTCCCAGTTTACTTACCCCCATGGAGCGTCATGGCTCATCCTCAAGGCTGCCGCCTTGAGCTCAGCTCTGCTCTTGAAACTTTTTTCTGCTCGCTCTCAATCCTGCACCAGCCACGTCCTGAGTCTCCTTCCCTCCCACCCTGCCTTGTTTGACCCAAAGCCTGCAGCCCTTTATTAAATGTTCTTTCTGACCTCTCATCACTCACCATCCGTTGGGCTCTCTACCCACTTCTGCCAGGGTTTTCCAAATGTGCGTGTGTATGGATCTGTGTATGCATACACACGTTTGTGTGCATGTGTGTGCGTGCTTTCCCTGCTTAGTGGGGGCTCCATCCCCACCTTCTTGGGCCCACTCAAAAGGGTAGAAGTCAGCCCTTGCTGAATTAAAAGGGGCCTGCCAGCTCACCTGGCCTCATCTCTCTTACTCCCACCGCAGAGTGGCTGTGGTGACTGCCAAGATGCCCAGGGTAGTACCTGGCAATGTACCTGTGTCCCCGTCTAGACGGAGGAGATTGGGAGTGCCCCGCCCCAGCACTGCCTGTCCCCCACTCGCCAGCAGGGGACAGCTGCAGCTGAGGCAGCCTCACTTCCCCACGGTTTTTCTTGCCTTCTCAATGTCTTGTTGCACGTTTGTGGGTGAGACCTGGATAAGCTGACAGGTGTTGGGGTGACTTGCTCGTAAACATGATGACATCATGACAGCACGCCCTCTGAACACCTGCAGCGTGATGGACACTGTTCTGGGCACTTTGTGAATTAGCTCCCGGTCTCCCAGCAGCCCTGGAAGTGTGTCTGATCGTTGCACCAGACACAATGTCACATTCTGTGTGAAGAACTGAGGCACGGGGAAAATGGTTTCTACAAAGTTGGTCACTAAGCGGATCTGCTGGCGCTCCAACCCAGGCTGCCGGCTCAGAGCCCTCTCCTCAACACCACTTTCATGATAGGGGGTACTTTGGGGTCCAGGGAGGCCCAGCATTGTGCTTAGAGATTCCTAAGAGCAGAAGTGAGGATAATTTAGCCAAGGTCATCAATTTCTGAAAAGAAAACCCTCAAAGTCATCCCTAGAGATGGGGAGAAGACCCCAGGTTGCCCCATGATCCGAGTGATGGAGGGGCCCTTGCCTCACTTGCCAACTCCAAGGAGGCCTGTTGCAGCTCCCTGTCCTGTTCTGGGCCTTTCCAGGTCTGGGGCAGACGGTTCCCTTCTGTGCTCCCATCTCTGTGTTCAAACATCGGCTCTCTGCTAGGTACTGTTCCAGGGTCTGAGACCGCAGTGACTCACTCCTGCCCTCGTAGGGAGAGGCAGGAGGTAGGGTAAACGAGAGCTGTGTTCACGTGTAATGAGTGTTACGGGAAAAGTAAAACTAGGTCAGTGGGGATGCTGCAGTTTGGGAAAAGAGGTCCGGCCAAGGTAGTCACTCATCTGAGCAGATGTGGGCACCCTCTCTCATTTTCCATGGTGTGTGGGTGTCTCTTGACAGATGACCGCCCTCCAGTGTCCTCACTGCTGAGAGTTCATGGTTCCTGTCCCCTGTTGACACAGTGGGTCCCAGGAGGGGAGGTGTACCTGCCCACCACTCCATATTCCTCCGGAGTCCCATGCCTGGTTTCCCAAGGCACACCTGGGACTTGGCTGGGGCTGGCAGCTAGGCCTGGGCCCTCCCCAGATGGGACGGGGGGAAAAGGTTCGGAGTGAGGGGCGGGTGTGAGTGGACTCGGCCAAGTCACTGCCCATTTCTCTAGGGGCAAAATGAAGGGCTGGGTCTAGTGTGCGCCCCCTGCCTCCTTCCCATGGTAGTGCCTGGGACGCCCCCACAGCCTCCCAGCCGGAGACTGAGCAGCATCTATGGATGGCCAGGGGCTGGACCTCTTGGGTTTTTGTTTTTTAAGGTTTTTGCCTTGGGGTGCACACATTCGCCAGAGACAGAGATAATGAGAGGGAAAGTGAGAAATCACCTCCTACGGGGGGGTGGCCACTCCACAAACCTTTTTCCATGCTCCTCCTGGGATCTTGGGCATACACACACACGTCTGGTGTGATTTTCAAGCCACGAGGTCTGGGACACGAACCACGGTTGGCCGTGTACGAGTCCAGTGATGTAACCACTGAGCCATCTGCTGCCTCCTCTTGGATTTTTTAAAGGGCATCAAGGCATCTGAATGGAAGCGCGTGTGAACAGTCTGGGAAGGAAATGACCGCAGCCCTCCTCTCTGACCTGGAGGCCAGTTCAAGGCAATAGTAGGAGACCCATCACTAAGGAGGGTCTGTGGGTTGTCTCTTCTTGTCCCCGCCCTGAGTTCATCCTGGCAAGCTGAGAGGCTGATTCCCACCCTGCCGTTACAGAGACAGCAAACTTGCCCCAGGTCATTCATGAAAGGGGTTGGACCTGGTCCTCTGATCCCTTCAAACATGGTTCTTAGCACAGGAGAGCCTTCAGTTGATGTTAGAATGATGCTGAACACTTACTGCTGCAAATAACAGGAACCTACCTCAAAGTAGCTCAAGCAAGAACAACAACAACAAAAAAATCAGCTTATTGATGCGGTAACAGCAGCTCTCTCAGCAGCTGAGAACAAAGATCGACTTCTTACTCGCAGTACCCCGCCATCACCAGAGAGCTGGAAACTCCAACTCGCTTGATGGCCCAGCTGATGGAACAGTTGCCACCTCAAATGTCACCGTGGCAGAGGGGAAGACACTAGGGAGCGTGACAGCTGAGGGTTAAATTCTGTGTCCAGAAGCAAGATTTACGACATCTGTTAACAGCGTATTGGCCAGTTCTGCCCGAGTGGCCCCATCCGACCACAGGGCCCAGGAGGTGCAATCCCACTCTGTGTCCAGGGGGCTGAAAGCTGGAAATACCTAGTAACATAATGGCTTCCATACACACACCTGAAAGTTCAGAGGGAATGCGATTTCAGGCACGACTGGATCTAGGAGCTCAAGAGAGATTCTCAGGAACGTGTCTCCATTTCTCTGCTCTCTCGGCTGGCTTCATCTCAGGCCAGCTGGTCCTTCTGGTGCCCTCTGCAGCTCCGAGCTTGGTCCTGCCTTAGAGTTCAGCAATCCCAGCAGGACCAGCTTGGGTCACATTTCTGTCCCTGAAGTGTACTATGCCCTGAACTCATGGAAGCCCAGGCCTAGGGCATGTAGCTCCTCCCAGGGCTGGAGGTAGCCACACCCACAGGGCTGCTGCGTGGCCAAGAGCCACAGGCACTCATGGGTGTTTGTAAGAGTTTCTTATCTCTTGGTCTCTCTAGGTGTGGAAAAGCTGGAGCTCAGGTTCTGACAATTCATTCAGTGTGTGCCCTCAGGTCACCAACCCATTCTGTGCCTCCGCTTCATCTGTCCCCTGGATAACCCTGCCCCCTCAGAGCCTGCGGATGGACAAAGGTGGGCCAGGAGTAGGCTGTGGCACCTGTGGGAGTACATAAGGGGACCTCACAAAGTCCATGGGAAAATTGAAAGTATAAGTTTATTTTGGCGCAAAACAGTGAAATTCACACGTAACTTTTTGTTTGTTTTTAATGAAACGCATTCACATTTTCAATGAACTTTGAAGACCTCGTGTATTCTGTGCATGCTCCTCCACCTTAAAAGAGGGTCATTGGCAATTCTGGCCTGGACCTTCGGTGACAAGGAGACATCTTCCCCAACTGCTCCCAGGTCTTTGGTCGCTCCTCCACCCTTTGCTGCAGTAGCTAGTGCAGCTAACAACTCTTCATCTTTCAAAGCCCAAAAAACACCAACTTCTCGCAGAAGCCCCCCCGCCCTTGCGATGCTCCCTCCGGGCTCCCGTCTCATGCCAACCGGGGAGCGACTATGCATTTCTTCCCCACTTTGTGGAGAGTCGAGTTGGCAGCTTGAAATTGGCCATGGTGGAAGTATTTAGACCACAGAAACAGGCAAACGCTGTAAGTCAGGCTTTACTATGTCAGCCGTGTGCCAGGTTGGGGATGAAGCAGTGGACCACATAGACAAAGTTGTGTCCTCACAGAGCTTAGATTGATCTGTTACCTGTTTATTTCTGTCCATGCAGTCATTCATCCTCCAAGCCTCCTACCACCTACCCACGCACCCACCCATCCCTCCGCCGTCCACCCACAACACATGAATGCATCCATGGGGTGGGGCAGCACGTGGCACCAGTGTTCTGCACCTATGTTCATGAGCTGAGTGACTCCAAAGATGGAGTCAGTGAGGAGCCACGTCTGCCCAGGCCAGAACATCCAGGCCTCACCTCGCAGGCCTGGGAATCCCCTCCCACACCCAAGCTCCTGAGTTCTGGGTGCTGGAGAGTTGAGCTGGTTCTGCCAAGAGCCTGGGGTCAGGTGACACCTGAACCCTGTTACCCTCAAGAGGGTATGAAAACCACAGGCACCTTGGCCCATGTGTCTCCTGGGTGTGTTAGGAGGTGGTGAGGACTGCTCACCCGTGCAGGAGCTGTGGTTTCTCTCACATGTGGCCACCTGACCCACACACCCTGATCCCTGGCTAACAGTCCACTGGTAAAACCAGCCTAGAACTTTCCAACCTCATTCTAGAACTGTCCAGCCTTGTGCCAAGCACCAAGGACTCTCATGCATTCTCTTGGCCGCCTCTGCCAACATCCCTCTTTTACAAGCAAGTTATGGGGAGGCTTTCAGGAGGACTGGCTTCTGACTCCCAGCCAGGAAGAAACAAGCCAGCATGGCCCTCCCTTCCCCTGAGGAAGATGGAGGGCCAAGGCCGGGTGGAGGGTTCCTCTCAGGGTTCCTGAGCTACATCCGAAACTCCATTGCCTTCACTCTGCTTGGTCTCACAAAAGCCAAGCCATTTCTAAGGTGGGCATCCTTACGGGAAGAACAACTTATTTTCTCAGAAAAAGAAAGAAGAAAGGAAGAAAGAAAACCATGACTGTATGCAATACCTAGCACCTGTACTAAACACGTTTAGTGAGGTGCCTTCGAAAAGTTAAGCATTTTCTTAGCTTCTTAATTCACATTTCAACGGGCTGTCTGAAAAACTCGACAAGCAGTTTGACTTCCCTTAAGCCTCCAGGATAAATAGATGACACCAGGGTGGAATGAGGGGCTCCTGCCCTGCCAGAGCAGCACGAGGGATGGTCACGTGGGCAATGCACTCTGCTCTGTGTACCCCGGCCCCAGCCATGAGACATGTACTTGGTGCTCCATAAATATTTCCTGGGTGCTTATTAAAGGGAACTAAAAAAAAAAATAAAGAATGGCAGCAGAAGTCAGAAAAAAGACCGTGGTTGGTTGTGGGGCTGTTTCTAAGGGACAAGGCTGGCTGATCTTAAGCCTGGAAACCCCCGAACTGCCCTGGGCAGGGGCGACCGCCCTGTAGGCGCCAGGCTGTCGCTGTTGGCGGGTTTCTCACCCCCGCCCCCTCCCCCGTGAGCCTTGGTCCTGGCCCAGGAGGAAGGAAGCTGAGGTGCATGGGGACTCACTATGGGCTGCATACTTATGTGGGTGACCTCACCGGTTTCCCCCAGGTAGGTCATGCCATCTGCGGGGTCCAGACAGGATACTTGAGCCAAAAGGGGTGTCTTCTCCCAGGTAGCACAGCCAGGAAACATCAGAAACTGAGTCCTGTGTCCTCCCCTAGGGACCTGCAGTCTCACTGATCCCCTTCCCCTTCCTGCTGCGAGGGAAGAACGCGTGGATGTCCTGTGCTCCTGGAGGAAGGACCCGCAGGGCCGGGCTTGGTGTCTGTCCTAGGCAATGCCTTTATTCCAGGAGGCCCTGTGGGTCCCTGGACCAGCCTCTCAGCACGTGACCTGGTGGCCTCCACATGCTGGGAGGGAGGGAGGCTGTCATCTGTGTGCAAAAAGCACATTGCTGTTCACACTCATGCACACGTGTGAGCTCTCACGGGCACAGGCACACATGGCGTAACCGTGGGCACGCTTCTGTGTCGGCAGGCACTGGCAATGCTCATGCACGTCAACATGCCAGTGTGCACCTGGGCCCCCGGACACGCACACACACACGCACATACACACTGTAAACATCAGGCTCAAAGGCCCCGTCAGGGAGCCCGAAGGTGCAGGCCTCGTCACATCACAGCCTAGCGGCCACATCTGCTTTGTGGCCCAGTAGCACAGCCAGTTCTTGGCCCATGGGCCTCACTAGCTGGCCTGGGGCCCAGCTCCTGCTGGTGGGGGGGCCATGACCACCCACTGGCGGAGGTAACTCCTAGGGGGCCCTTCGTCCCTGGGGCTGGCAAAGTCACACTCCACTGGGCTGCCACAGTCAGAGCCTGCAAAGCCACTGTCAAACGTGTCCATGTCCAGGCCGGCTGGAGGCGAGCCCGCCTCGCTCTCAGAAGCCCCTGCAGGTGGCCTACCACCCCAGGGCGGCCCCACAGCCCAGCCCTCCTCATCTGCAAGGTGCAGTCTTAGCCTGTCGAGGAGGCTGCCCAGGGGACCTTCCAGCCCAGGGTCACCAGCTGAGACACAGCCACATGAGAGGACTGTGGGCCCGAGGCCCAAGAGTGGGTCTTCAAGGCCTGGGCTAGGGTCCAGCCCAGGGTCCAGGTTCAGGGCAGGGTAGCCATCATCTCCACAGCTGCAGGGCCAGCTGCATGGCCCCTCTGTGTCCACCACAGTCACCGTGTCGATGGATACCAGGCCATACTGCCGGTCCTTCCCTTCACTGTAAGCTGAGCCTCCCACGTTGCCAGTGGTGGCAGGGGCTGGGACCCAGGTGCCAGGCTCGGACACCCCGTCGGTTTCCAGCAGCACTGCCGGCTCCAGACCCTGTGATGGGCAGGAGCTGCGCACCTCCAGGGCCGAGGGCACCCCTGGCTTCCAGGGCCCCAAGTCCAGGCTGGAGGCAGTGAAGGGTGTGCCGACCCATTTCTGTGAGAGAAGAGAGAGTGTTATGGGTGGGACTGTAGTACGGTGGGGGTATAAACAGAGACAAAGAGACACAGAGATGTGGAGACAAGACTAAGAAACTGTGAGACAAGGACATGGAGATAGAGACACCAGAAAAGAGAGAGAGGAATCAGGGCCGCAGTGTGCCCCTGTGCAGTGGGGACCCACTACTGTCCCTTGCTAAGTCTGAGCCTCAGTTTCCCCACCTGCAGGAGGGAGCTGCTCCCCTCAGTAGCCTGCTTACTCAGACCACAGGTTCCCCATGTCCTGGGTTCTGTGTGGGGGCTAAGTGAGGGAAGGGGCCAAGGCTCCTGAGCCACGGGGACAAGGGACAGGAGGGCCAGGGCCTGAGAAACAGAGTCCCTACCAGGGCCTGTGTCACTTTCTCCTTGGCATTTCTGGAGACCTAGCATTCTGTTTGTGTCCCCAGCTGGGTGGACACAGGGCCAGGACAGAAGCCCCGTCTCCTTTGTTCACGGTAGGTGCTCAATAAATGTTTATCGACTAAATAGATGAGAGGATCGAGCCAGTACAAGCCATCAGGAAGGTCTCGTGCCCTTGGTGCCCACCCCTGAGGATGGGAGTCTGCCAGTCGTCACCTCAGCCCCCGAGAAATTCATCTCCAAACCTGGTGTGGCCTCCACCACTGATTTGCAGTCACTTATCAGGGGGGCGGCCTTGAGCCAGTCATCCACGCCCCCCCATGCCTCGGTTTCTTCATTTGTGAAATGGACCTCATGCTAGTACCGCCCACTGGTGGTTGTGAGGATTAGGCGGGCCAGCCAGGTGAGGCTCTGCAGCCGGCCTGCTACCTGCTACGAATCTAGGCTCAGAGGGAAGAGTAACACAATAGGGGCTGCCTGAGCTTCAGGGAGGAGGAAAGTGGAGTCCAGGTGCCTCCCCTGTGCCGCTGAAGCTGCTGCCCTCCCTGAGCCTGGTCTCCTTCTGGGTGCCCTGAGGAAGGAGGGGCGCCCACCCACAGGACTGCATGAAGAGGAGGCAGGGAAGCAGGGAGGGTGCTCAGCACCGGGCAGACTGCAGGTGCTCTATGGACGCTCTAGGTCCTGTCTGACTTCCGGGGCTGAAGCAGGCAGGCGGCCCCTCCCACCTGTCACCACATCCTCTGCGGCAGCCCCTCCCACGACTACTGGGGGTGACTAGTGGTAAATGGGCACAGAGAGCCCTATGGGTGTGGCAGGTGGCAGTGAGGCTGGGGCTTGGCAGGAGGTGGTGTGTTTTGTAGGTAGGGCCAGACTTTTCCCAGAATCCCTCCTCCTCTCTTCCTCCTCACCCCCTGCCCCACCCCTGCCAGATCCAGGGCATCTAAGGACCAGGGGACCAGTTTGTGGCTCGAGGGACCTCCTGATTCACTCTGTCCCAAGTCTGGCTCTTGGGGCTGGGAAATGTCACATGGTCTTGTTTAATGCTAATTCTGCATTACAGGAATTATCATCCATACTTTCAGATGGGGAAACAGGCCTGACTCAAGGCCTGGCTGGAACCTGGGTGCTCCAGACCCTGGGGTAAGATAGAGGGTGCTGGGAGGAGGGTGGTGCAGACAGATGAGGGGCTCAGAGGGCTCATCACAGAGTAGGAGGTACTCACCTTGAAGTCCCCGCTGTGGCCCTCGTACAGGGGCTGGAAAAACTGCTCGGGGCTGGGTACCTGCCCCCACACCTTCTTCCACAGCCTAAGACGGCAGAGACAGAGTGAGGCCCCTCACATGACCCAAAGGGCAGCCTGGCCTCCCACTCAGACGCCTCCCAACCTCATCCAACAGCACAGCTCCGGCTGCCCTGCCTCAGTTTCCACATCTGAAAAATGGGAGCAGTCAGTCTCCTTCACGGGTTCCTGACGCTGCGCTGAGTTTATGGACCAGGCCATCAATTGGGTCAGGCAGGTGCCACCCTCCTGAGCCTCAACTTCCTCATCTACCACTGGGTCGGGCAGGCAGCCAAGGCCACGGGCTGGGGCAGTTCCATGAGAGGAGGCAGGGCAGGGGCACCGCAGGGCTCCCAGGAGCAGGTGCTCTTGGCCTCCTGCTTCTCTCTCGTTTCCTGGCCTCCATCTTTGTCTCCACATCTGGTGGAAGATGACAGAATGAGCCGCAGATGCCAAGCTCTGCCGTGGACGCCGGCTCTGCAGAGGCAGCTGCAATTTACAGCGCAGCTGCAGGTGCCAGGCCGGGCAGGCCCTGCTCTCTTGGTGGCGATGTTCAGGAGAAACCCAGCATATCAACAGGGCAGAGCAAAACCTCCGCTGGAGCAGAAGGGACCGGGAGGCTTATCGCTAACCTGCCTCCACTGCCACGCGGACCTCAAAGCCTAAGATCCCCTGAACGAGGTCGGAGCTGAGGTCCCTGTTAAGAGCAGAGTCTCGGTCCCACCTCCCTTCATAGCTGCGTGACTGTGCAAGATCCATGACCACTCTGTGCCTTGGCTTCCCCACCTGTAAGGGGCGGGGGCAACTGCAGTGCAGAGGTCATAGGACTGAGGGTGAGGCTGCCAGACCGGCCTACACGGTGCCCAGCCCCTGGTAAACGTTAGCTGGTTTTCATCGCCATCATTGTCACTATCATGATGACAGGCGTGTTCCCGTCCCTGGGCTGAGCCCCTCCCTGTCTCCCTGTTCCCCTGGCCTCACCTCCAAGGCAGGTGGATCTTCAGGCCCAAGAAGACAAGGACGGGGACCACGGCAACCAGCAGGAGAAGCGGCAGGTAAGCGTGCTGGCCTTCCTTTGACTCTGGGAAGGAAACAGTGGCTTCACTTGAACCAACCTCATGGGTGGGATTGTGGGAAAGGGGTCTAGGGTGAAGTGCAAGGGGGCTGGGAGGCTGCCAGTGCCTTGAAGTGAGTTGAACCTGGGTTCCAATCCTGTCCCGTCCCCACCCGTAGGCGTTATCTCCTCTCTGAATCTTAGCTTCCTCATCTGCAAAGCGGGGATTGCGATTCCCACGTCAGAGTCGGGACACGCGGATACCCTAACAGCAGCAGCAGCAACCCCCAGTGCAGGGCCTGGCAAGCAAGGGTGCCAGAAGCGGGGCTCGATGGCTCCTTCCCGGCCATGCTGAAGTCTCCGGTTCAGGGGGTGGAGGAGGATGAGATGTGGTACCAGCAGTGGGGTGTCTGTCCCACCTCACACCTACCCTCTGGCTGAGTCTGGAAGATGACTGGGTCGCTCCACTCGCTCCAGGGGCCCTGGAACAAGGAGCCAGGCTGGGGCCCTGCCCGCACCTGCAGCTCATAGCTCGAGTCTTTCCGGAACTCCAAAGGCAGGAGGGAGATGCTTCTGGTGTCCACAGAGATCAGCTTCCTCGTCGGACTCTGCAGTTCAGGGAAGGGAAGCAGTGGGTCCGGGTTCCACCAGGCCAGCCTCTGCCTCCAGCGCAGCGGCCCCTTCACTAGCACCCCTGTCAAAGGGCTGTCTCTTCCTTTCCCGTAAGAGGCAGGCCTGGCCTGAGTTCTGGACGCTCAAGTGTGTGCGGCACAGAGCTGTCAGCACGCAGCGGCCTCACCTGAGATGCAGGGTTTGCTCTGCTGCTCTCTCTTTTTAAGGGTTTTTCTTTCTTGAGAGTCAAAGAGAGAGAGAGAGAGCCCTCCAGCAGTTGCCACCCTGTGGTCCCTCCCCAGCCTCAGCCAGCCCAGATTACAAACACCGCAGGCACGCCTGGTGTGCACAAGGTGGCTTTGGGACGCAGGCCCTGGACCTTCCCTTGTGCACCCAGTTGTCACCATGTGGCTCTTGTTCTGTTTCTCTTCTATCTCGGCCCACCCACTCACTGGCCTGACAACAGACCCTCCCTGCGGGGACTGGGGACTTCTCGGGAGTGGAAGCATTCCAGATAAGGATACTTGGGGGATTTTCCCACCGCTCAAGGCCCCGCTGACATGATGGGCTCAATGGTGGCATTTCTGGATGTCTTCCACTGCGGTCATCTTAGCAAAGAATACCACCCGGACTCTCTCACTGGGGACATTCGAAACTGTGGCACTTAGGAAAATCTTCAGCTGGGACCATTCTAAAGAAAGGGTAATTCTGGAACTCTTCAGCTGTGACTGTTCTAGAAGTGGACCATTCTGGAAAGCTCTCAGCAAAAAGACAGAGACCTCTCTAAGCCTTCACCTTGGAAATAATAGTCCCTCTGCCACTGGGCCCTCTTAACTAGTGACACTTCTGGAATACTCCAACTGTGGCCATTCTAATTGAAGACCTTCCTGGGTGCCAATTTCTGAAACTTCCTCTCTTGAGACTATACTTGATTCGGGTGGAACCTGAGGAAGTGACGGTCCCTTTTTCTTTGGCATGTTTATAGGGAGGAGACAGAGATGGGGTGCTGTCTCTACCCAGGGAGAAGTGGCCAGAGGGCTCAGAATGAGCCCGTACAGGAGAGCGTGTGTCCTTGGCCTGTCCTTGGTTTCAATTCTTGGCCATGAGTGATGCATACCTGTCTCCCAGTCGCCCTCTCCCAGCTCCCACACACCTGGGTGCTCCTCACTCCCGCTCCTCCCTCCCCACACGATCCTCCGGGTCCTCACCAGGGCCCAGGGGTCACCCCGGTTCCTGTACTGCAGCTGGTACTGAAGCTTGTCCTTCAGCAGGTAGAAATCAGAGGCTTCGTAGTCAGAGCGCCAGGAGATGTTATAGTCTCCAGAGAAGGTCACGGTCACGTTGAAAGGAGGCGCTGGCTTAACTGAGAGAAAGGGTGAAATGGGGTGAGCTCGTGCTGGAGGAGAGAAGGGTCTGGAGACAGGAAGTAGTGTCCCCGCCCCACCTGACCCATTGCTCAGCTACGAATGCGGGATGGGCACCCAGAGCAACTTTGGGCTGAGCACTCCCTGTCTCTGGGCCTCAGTCCATTAATCTAAAAATAAAAGATTTAGAGGAAAGCAAAGAGATTAGGGTTGCAAACTCAGGGACGGGCAGGGGAGAAAGGAGGGAGGCAGCTCTGAGGGTGTGGAGGAAGAACGAGCCCTCGCAGGCCAGAGGGGGCGCTACCACCCAGCCCAGCCCACCTCTGGCAGGCCGGAGGCAGGTCAGATCTTCTAAGTTTTCTAGGGACAAAAAGAAACAACAACAAAACAAAACACAGATTATTTAAAATGTTTAAATTAGTTACTAATCTGGGGCCAGTAAATGGCATAATGGTTATGTTGCTGGATTCTCACTTAGCCAGCTGCAGCCTGGACCCAGTGGCTTAAAACTCATGCCGGGCGCGTGTGGGTACATGCCAGCCCAAAATTCCAAGAGAAGAATGGAGGAGAAGGGGCTGGAGCGTGGCCACCCCGGGGCAGAGGGGAAGGGATTTCTCACTTTTGGTCTCTCTCGTGAGCACACACCTCCTATAGCAAAAAAGCTCTCTCAAAAAAAAAAAAAAAGAAAAGAAAAGAAAGAAAAAGTTACTGATCCCCAAACTTTCTAAGCAGATCCACTTATTTTCAATTTTTATTTTCTTAGAGAATTATTTATTTAATTTTATTTATTATTATTTTATAATGTGCTATAGGGCACATGCACTCACCAGAAAGAGACAGAGAGAAAGTGAGAAAGCAAGCCACAAGGTCTGGGACAGGAACTGTGGCTCATCATGTGGCAGTCCAGCATCTTAACCACCATGCCATCTGCTGGTCCCTCAATTTCTATTCCTTGTTATTTATTTATTTTTTTAAGAGAGATTTTTGCTCTAGGGTGCCTGTACTTGCCAAAGAGAGAGAGACAGAGACAGAAAGTGAGAAATCACCTCCCAGTGGGGAATGGCCATGCCACAGTCCTTTCTCCTCCATTCTCCTCTCTGGATTTTGACCATGCATTCCCACAGTCCAGCATGGGTTTCAATCTACTAGGTCCAGGACTCGAACCACAGTCATGTGGGAGTGCAGCAATGTAACCATTATGCCATCTCCTCTGCTGGTACCTCGATTTCTACTCTTTTTTTTCTTTCTTTCAGAATATATTTTAGAATGGCAGTATTTTTTAGAGGTTTTTGCTCTAGGGCATGTGAGCTTGCCAGAAAGACAGGGAGAGACAGAGAGACAGAAAGTGAGAAATCATCCCCCAGAGGGGATGGCCATGCCACAATCCCTTCTCCATTCTCCTTTCAGGATCTTGGGCATGCATGCACATGCACCTGGCGTGAGTTTAAACCACCAGGTCCAGGACTTGAGCCGTGGTCAACTACACAGGAGTCCAGCGACATAGCCATTAAGCCAACTGCTGGTCCCCAGTACAACAATTTATTAT